GAAAGGGCCATAGCCCAATTTTACAGAGTTCTCGGAGAGAGCAGGGGGAAGATTACACAGGAGCATGGCGTTGGATGGGACTTGCACCTTGTGTGGCTGGTCGAACTCCTGGAGGCATGCACTGCTGGAGTGCTGTTTACACCAGATTTTGGAGTGGTACGCGAGAACCCAAAATTTCTGGGATTTGCCGTGACGGCCGTATCATTTGAAGAATCGGATAAACCGGATCGGCGTCGGAATCGGCTAATGGGCCATGATGTCAGCATTTATTCTTATTTAGACGATGCCAACAAAGGAAGTAAGGATAGTTGAAGCTAAAAACGTGTCGGACTCTAGATATAAGGAAAAATAGAGTCCAATGTATCTTAAATTAGGATGTTTTCTTCTATTTCAAACTTTGTAATGGTCTTATTCGACTAGAACCCATGTTTAGGCCTTGGGTGTAAATATTACACCCCGGCTATTGTAAAACGGATCGACGTACAATCAATACAATCTCTCCGGCTTTCGCCATTGCATTAGGAGTAGGAGTACTTTAGATTTCGGCGAGTTCTTCAATAAGCAAGGCTGCATCGGTTAGGTCCGACCTCCGGCTTGTTTGTAAGTACCGTCACGACTTATATTTATTCTTGTACGGCTGTATCATTTGATCCCCACTACGAGTATTGATATGAGTAGTTATCGATTTATCTAGATTAAAGCAAAGCTATATCCTTGTGACCTCACTGCTCGATCTAGATCAAATCTCTGGTTATCGAATCTACTAGAGATTAGTAAGATTTCCTTGCTGTTTTTAGTAGATTCATCAGTTATCGATCTTGCTATTATCGGTATCTTTACTAATTATAGCAATATCACCAATTTACCCGATCGGGGTCGAAATAGATCGGTAACATATTACATCAATTGGTCGTCTTTTTGCCATATCACGCTTAAATTCTATTTTGACGACTGATTCTACCAGATCGGCTGTTCTATCTCGATCCTAATCAAACATGGTACGCGTTCAAGGCATGTTTGACCATTAAGTAGGTCTATCGACAAGTAAAATCTAATATATCGTTCAATACCATAGCTGTATCGCTTCGATCCTCACTAGTAGTGCTTTACTTGGAGATTATTAGTTGATAAATCTGTTTAATGAGATATGACCTTGTTCGTTTGATGTGTCCGCATCGGCTATTTAGTCGATTGCCTGTGCTCTCACACTTATAGCATGTTTTTATGATTTTGTTCAAGTATAAATAGATCCATCGACTTTTAAGCTTTAATCTGCTGTCTTTATCATAGCTGTATCGCCTCGAACCTCACTGATAAAGATAATAGATAAAATCTGATTAGTTTATAGATATATTTTGTATTAGACAGATGATTGTTTGCATGTTATGTTCTTTTGTATCGTCTCGGCTCATTAGTCAATTTTATACTCTATCATAGCTAAAATTATCGGCTCAATGCTTTATGTCGTTCATGCTATGTTTAGCCGATGGTTTTTATTTCTATTGATCTACAGCTGGATATCGACGCCGGGTCCCCCGCGAGATCCAGCGCTGATGCGCCTCCGGGGAGCTCCCCGTCCCAGCCTCTAGCGACACCGGGCCCCAACGCCGCGGCCTCCTTCTCCAGCAGCGGCGGCATTGAACCCGCCCCCTCCTCGCCAACGACGACGCCAAGGACAGGACCCGCCACCGCGGCCACCACCGGCGCCATGGCCTCCACCGCGAGATCCGGCGTTGATGCGCCTCTGGGGAGCTCCCCGTCCCCGCCTCTGGCTATGCCGGGCCCCAACTCCGCGGCCTCCTTCTCCAGCAGCGGAGGCATTGAACCCGCCCCTGGACCCGCCAACGATGACGCCGAGGATGGGACCCGCCACCGTGACCACCACCAGCCCCATGGCCTCCCCCGCGAAATCCGGCGTTGATGCGCCTCCGGGGAGCTCCCCGTCCCTGCCTCTGGCGACGTCGAGCCCCAACGCCACGGCCTCCTTCTCTAGCAGCGACGGCATCAAGCCCGCCCCTGGATCCGGCGAGGAGAACTCCCCCAAGCTGTCACCCCTGGCCGCAGCGGCAGTGGCGGCCCTCGCTCACGCCGCGGGCTCGTCTCTCTCCCCCTTCCCTGCTCCATGGGCACCGGCCTCTCCCATAGCAACGGGCCCGTCCACCTCCGCGGAGGACAAGGGGAAGGCGGTCATTGTCCTAGGCCGCGCCAGGCGTCGTCCGCGGCGTGATGAGGGGAGATTCATGGCGGATGCCCGCCGCCAGCCACCACCGCGTGCTAGTCGCGTCCACTCCCCATAGAGGACCACAGCGCAGGCGCCTCACACCCGGCAAGTCGCGCCCAGGTCCACGCACTGACTGGGAGGGAGGGGCCAGGAGAGGGAGGGAGGGGAGGGGCGGCGGCGGGGTGCGTTTGTGCGTGGGGGCGGCGGCGGGGTGCGTGAGTTATAGTATAGGAGCTTTGCCGAGTGTCCTAGATCTGACACTCGGCAAAGCAGTGTTTGCCGAGTGTCAGATTCGGCGCACTCGGCAAACCTTTCTTTCCCTCATTTTCCTTCTTTTTCATAACGTGTTTTTCTAAATTTGGTTTCTTTCTTTTCTATAACGTGGTTTTCTAAATTTGGTTCGATGTACTTTGAAAAATTACTCGGCAAACTTACTTCTTTGCCGAGTGCAAACAAAAACACTGGACAAACTTACTTCTTTGCGGAGTGTTTTGTTTTTCAGCACTCGACAAAGAGTTTGTTTACCGAGTGCAATTATTTTGCCGAATGTTTTTTTCGCAGCACTCGGCAAAAAGCTTGTTTGCCGAGTGTCTGAGAGAATGCACTCGGCAAATATAAAAACACTCGGCAAAGAGCCGGTTTGTGGTAGTGAGACCAATCATATTCACCTATCCTCTCCTCTGCTCCTCCAGATCACTTGCAGGCGGATGTCCCTGTGGCTCGGCCACGTAACCTCCCAAAAGTGGCACGGCGACGGCGAGCAACGGGCCGCTGCCGTCGGCGGTAGACTTAGGGAGCATGAGGATGATGACGTGTCCTTAAAGATGGCCTTGCGCGGGCGGTGGAGGAGCCTCTCCGGGTCCACGGGGATGATGTGGTTGCGGGACCTGTGGGCGTTCCCTGAACAAGGAAGAGGTGGCCATATTCCACGTTTCCGGCTGCAACGCAGCAGTGGTTGCACTTGCACCCACACATGTGATTAGTATGATCGAAACAATGTGGAGGTGCCGGGCGGGGAGCGAAGAAAACAATGATGATGAAATAACGCTGGATACTAACTCACGTACGGCAAATACAAAGGAAAACAAATGATGCAACTGGAAAAAAAAACAGAGAAAACAAAATCATTAAGATGTGAATATAATAATTGTTACCACTACCGGATATAGAAGCTTTACCGAGTGCCAGGGGCACTCGACGAAGCCCTAAAAACACTCGGCAAAGGGTACACTCGGCAAACGACACTCGGCAAACCATTTAACGGCAAACGCAAGTTTGCCGAGTGTTTTTTGTCGGGCACTTGACAAACACGTTGCCGAGTAAAAAAAACACTCGGCAAACTTTTTTTTAAAAAAAATAATAAAAAAAGGCACGCCGACACCACGCCCGCACCACCAGCACCGCCGCCGCCACCACCATCCACGCCGCCGCCACCATCCACTCCCGCTGGAGCCCTGGGCGCCAGGAAGCGGAGGTCGGCACCACGGTGCTAGAGCGCTTAAGCGCTGGAGAGCTCGGCTCCTGGAGCCCAACTTGACTCCCTGCAGAAATCGACACAGAGATGAAAACGGACAGGGGAGAGAAGAAGCTGCGCACGGCAGGGAGGGCCAGCGACCAGACCAACTCGGTGCTGTGCTCAAGCTCCATGAGCAGCCCACCAAGGGCAAGCACGCTGATGTGCTGATTTGCTCGGGCCTGAATACAGAAGACCGATGAGGAGCCTGAGAACAGAGAACAGAAAGCTGATGAACTAGAGCAGAAAAGGAGTGGTCACCAAAAATCAACGGAACCTGATACAAATCACCATGATTCGAAGCCAAACTTTGCACAGATGAAATTCACCTTGGCACGAACCTATTCTCCAAAAATCATGGCTTGGGATTGACCCAAACTCCGGTAAATTTGGATCGAAGCCATGAACTCGAGTTTTTCCCAAAACGAAATCAGCTTGACTCGTGGTGCTCAAATGAAGGATTTGTCAGGGGATCACCTAGCCTTGATCACACATGTCAGGGGCTCCAGAGGAGGGGCGCCGGGAGAGGAGGGGCCTTGGCGAGGGAGGGGCGCCGGGGGAGGGGCAGGAGAGGGAGCTGGGAGGGAGGAGGAGGGGGCGGTGTGTGAGGTGGGAGGGTGGAGGCGGGGTTTTATTTAAAAAAAATTGTGTCTTTGCCGAGTGTTAGATCTGAGCACTCGGTAAAGATTTTTTTTTATTTTTTTTCTTCTCATTTTTTTCAGAAAAAAGAATTTATTTCTTTGCCGAGTGTTTTAGATCTAAGCACTCGGCAAAGTTTTTTTCATTTTTTCTTCTTCTCCTTCTTTTGTAGAAAAAAGATTTTATTTCTTTGCCGAGTGTTTTTTTTACACTCGGCAAACCCACTCTTTGCCGAGTGTTTTTTTACACTCAGCAAACCCCCTATTTTGCCGAGTGTTTTTTGCGCAGCACTCGACAAAGAACTTAGTCGCCAAGTGTCCGAGGGAATACACTCGGCAAACATAAAAACAATCGGTAAATTTGAGGATTCCGGTAGTGTACCTATTACATTAAGTCTTGAAATCAAATTAAATCTTTATACAGTACTATAGAGTAGTGATAATGATGGTGAACAATCAATCAGTTGAGTGTTTTTTCCCCTACCGAAGTAGGAGTATACATTATATTATATATACCAGTACAATAATAAGAAAACTAATTAATTAAGACGAGGTGGCGCCGGCGCCGTTGGCAACGACGGGGTATCCGATGCCGTGCCGCCTGGTGGGGAAGGTGACGAAGAGGAGGCTACAGAGCACGCCACACACCAAGCGGCAGGACGTCGATGAGCTCCTGGGTCTCCCTGCCGGGAAAGGGCCCACACAGGCACGCGACGACGGCCCTGTCCCTGGCGGCAACGACCCCAAACACGGCGGCGGACAGCGCGGCGTGCACGAAGTCGAGGAACGCGAGCCTGTACTTCCTGGTGGCTCCCTCGGGCGGCGGCGGCGCGTCGGGAGGGTAGTCGATGAGCCAGAGCCCGGTGCGGGTGGCGACGCCGTAGTAGACGCGGCCGTCGTGCGGGGACTTGAGCGAGTCGGTGAAGCAGGCCAGCGTGCTGGCGACGGCGAGGATGGCCAGGAGGCATCGCGTGAGGAGGGATGTCGTCGCGTCGCACGCGCCGTGGTTCGTGAAGGTTGGCGCGAGGAGGTTGAAGGCGAGAAGGGTGCCGGTTGGGAGCAGGTTCGCCAGGTTCGCTGTGGAGGCTAGCGCCTGGGACAGCGCCGACGGTTGAGGAGGCGGCGGGGCCGGGGTGCCCCGCCGGCGGCGGCTTCGTCTTGCTGATGAGGGACGAGGTCTGCTTGCTGCTGCTTCTGCTCGTCTGCTTGGAGGATTGGCCGTGGCTGATGCTGCTGCTGACCGGGCGCCGCGGCAGCTGGCCTCTGCCGGACCGAAGAAGATGCCATATCGATCAGGGGGGCTTGGGCGACCTTGGTTGTTGATGATGGATGGTCTCAGTTAGAGACGAAGAAGATGGGAGAATTGGGACGTGCTGTGGCGTGTGTGCATGTAAGTAATAAGTAGCTTGTATTTGTAAGGAAGCGAGCGAACAATAATAATCAATAACAAAAATATACAAAATATGCATTATTCATGGTGGTTGTGGAATGCGTGAAGCAAATGAATAATAATAGGGGTCTTCCGAGCGCGTGGCGCGAGATTGCTGTGAGGGAGAGGGATCAGGGAAGGCATGGCGGTTTGGCCACGCGACTAGCTCGTACCAGGTCATCGCCAGCCAAACCACTCATTCATGCTACTTCATCTGCAAAACATATACGATAGATGCTCACTCAGAATGGAAATGGTGTTGCTTGTTGCTAACAGCAAACGTCTGTATGTACCCGTGCTGAGGTGGGTGGGAATACGGGATCGTGGATGGATGCCGTGTGCCGCAGCTGCTGCTTTATTTTGCTCCAACCAACGCCAACCTATAATACAGCTTCCATAATTCATGAGTTCGTTCAAAACCTAGTATAGCTCCGATCCCAAAAAAAAGAAAGAAAGAAAGGGATCAAGCTAGCGCCTGAACATCCGGACGACCGCGTCTGCCCATGTCCCATGCTGCTGCGCTCGCCGCACGCCTGTGCCTGCTTTACGTGGGGGCTCGCGCCGCGCCAATTCCCACGCCTGCGCATGCCTACGCAGGGGCCGCGTCTCAATCTGCGCTCGCTCCATTTCCAACTCTTGCCACTCACGCCCCCTCCGCTCCCAGGCGCATGCACGTGGGCTTAGCAGCTGTAGCAGGCAGCTACGGCAGTGGGTCCCACTGCAATATGTGCAACACCAGATCTAGTTTTCAAACATCTAAATAAAAAACTTTGCAACATACGTCCGAAACAGTTGAAACACTTGCAACATACATCTGGAACATTAGGAAAACACGTTTGTAATACCGTTGCAAAACATATGCAACATCCAGATAAAATACCTGCAACATACGTACAAAGCGTATAAAACACTTCAAACGTACGCTTGCAACATGCATGTATATGCAACATCGAGATCTACTTTTGTAACCTCCAGATAAAACATTTGCAACATACGTTTGAAACAGATGAAACATTTGGGAGATATACTTGAAAACACCATTGCAGCATGTGCAACATCCTGATCTACTTTTGCAACATCAATATAAAACACTTGTAGCATACCACTGAAACATTTACAACAATTGCAACGGATGCTTGCAACATGTAGTTTCAGCTTAACATCTCCTTGCTGCTTGGGAGAACGGATCCTCGTCGGTGTGTGGAGTTCTATCCTGGCCGTCGCGTGCTACACGCGGGCATGTTCCGCCCCAGCCACGGCGAACTGGGTAGGCGGGCGAGAGATGTGTGTGGGCGGGCTCTGCCCGGGCTACCGTGAGCTGCACGCAGGCGAGCTCCACTACACCCGGCCATAGCGAGTTGGATAGGCGGAGGGGGAGGTCTTCCTAGCCGTCGACCAGGCATCCGGCCCCCGTGGTGGAGGCGACAGCGGTCTCCCTCACCACAGGCGGGTGGTGCAGCGCGGCCGGTGGAGCTCATGCGTATGCGGATGGCGGCGGTGCACGTGCGGACGCAAGCGCTAACAGAGCTCGTGCGTGCGTGACCTAAGGGCAGGCGATCCGGTGGAGCCGATACGAATGCAAAAGATAAGATGTCGCTCTCTTTTCTTTTTTATTATTTTTTTGGAGAAACCGTGTATGCCAATGAGAGGAGCAGTCCTATGGGTCGGTCCATAGCCCAGCTAGCTGTGTCCGGACTGACAACGCGGGACAGACGCCCGTAGTGGAGCATTAGCGATAAGCAAGACATGGGTTACTGAAGGCGAGACCTTTAATTAAGTGACCCTATCACCGAAACCGTCAAACCTTAAAAGATGACGTGGCGAGAGGTTACAATGTACAACAGGGGATACGTACGTACGATCGAGTCCCCAATGGCCGCCGTCACATGAACAGTGTCTTCCAGGCAGAATAATATTTTTCTCTCACACCAAACCAGCTAGCAGTAATAATCCACGAACCAGCAGCTCCAGCCGAACCGGCTGTAGGTGATTGCAAAAAATATATCGAGTGAAAACACCTTTCGCCAAACGTAATCATGTAGAACACTGTTGTAGAAATGACTTTTCACTCTCTTTTTTTATCAACGGATGGAAAAAGGATTGCCTCTATAAACTGTTTCAGAGATGGGTTGTCTCTAGAAATCAGATTTTCAGAAGTAGTTGGTATATGTCCAACCACCTCTTGAAATGCCCTCCATTTTTCAAGAGCGTCTCGGGAATACCGGCTACCTATAGCCATCGAGTTTCAGCCACAGTTGGTAATTTGGCCCACCTCTACAATTAGCATAGGAAAATCCATTAACTTCTATCACATGACATCAGATGAAGGCTAAGTTTACAAAAAGTTGTTGAGCTCGAAGAGATTTATAACTTTATAGATTAAGACGTTTTCACTTAAAGTTGTTGAAGGTCCCAAAAACATGTTTTCATATATCATATTTTGAAATCGTTTTTTTTTCTATTTTTTTCAAATGACTTAAGATGGAGAAACACACAATTCAAGATTTGTAGAAGTTACTCTGTGATGTAATGGTATGGGATGATTGCGCGAGGTAAGAGTGAGTTCAAATCCTAGTAAACGCATGGGCGCATGGTTGTGATGCTTTCCTAGTGGGCTTCTTCTAGTATTTTTTTTTCTATTGTTTACATCCGATTTTAATTCTTGGAAATCATTTTTAGAGACAAATCATATTACCAACCGTCACTATAAATTGAGATCTGACCACCTACAAACAACAATTTCGTAGTAGTGGATAAGCACCAATTTTAATCTTGTTCAATTTGGCATGATTTCAAACGGTTCCGTCTCCTACAAGCAGATATCCTTTTTCTCTCTCTTCCCAAAATGAACCGGAAAGTAGTGAAGCCAAGCCAAAAAACTTGGAAGACAGCAAGTCCAATCAGCAAACCACCATAACTTGGAAGATAGCAAGTCCAATCAGCAAACCACCAAGACAAGATTAAAAAAGAACTCTAAGAAGATACGCAAGACAAGAATTGAAAGTTTCCGTAAGAACATAAATAATCACCCAAAAGAAGGCCGGACAGGAAGCACATGGCGTTGTGGAGTTTCTGTGCCCGTCGTGGATCCGTCTGCAGGAACCAATGCAAGAACAACTCGCCAAGAAAAACGAGCCAGACTTGGAAGCACATGGCCTGCAGGGACCGTCGATTCGGGCATGCCGTCGTGGATCCGGCCGCTGAACCCCTCGCGCTTGCTGGAGGCCGCTCGAGGCACAAGCGCCCGGCGTCCAGTCGACTGTCGGGCCGTAGAGCTCGCTTGATAGGCAGTCTCGTTACAAGATGCACCCCCTTTGTCAGATCTGAGAAAAAAAAATCCGAAATCAAGCAAGCCCTCTTTTACGGATCTGAGGAAAAAAGAAGTCAGAAATCAAGCAAGGGGGAAAGAGCTAGAAGAGAGAAAAAGATATCAAAAGGCACGAGAGAGACGGAGGGTTCTAACTCTTGGATCAAGTGACAACTGAACATCGGGTTCCCTCACCGGATCGAATCCATCCACCATGGACAAGAAACCTCCTCCATCACATCTTCTCCTGCCCCGAGTTCCTCTACCGGCGCGGCGCTTCTCCTCCACCGCAACCTCTCCTCGGCATCGTCAATCTCTTTCTCTGCTGCAGTCGCCTCTTCAACACCGATCTTCGCGTCTCTGCTGAAACCTGAAGGCCAGCAGTTAAGATGGATTTATTTGTTTGTTTTTCCATCGTAGTACCCTCTTGGCTCTTGGCCGTCCATCGGTGGAGAAGATATCAACGACAAAAGCGACTGTACAGTGGGCCTTCCCTTAAAACCGAGAAGCGGGGGAGTAGTACACTGATGGTAAGTCATCTCAATTCTCGAAGAATCAGCCTTTTCGATTGGCTGGTTCGTATCATTGCTAGTTCATTTATGTGAGAGAGAAGTACTGCTGGCTGGTTCGTGTAAATAGTATCCATGTAAGGGGGCTGGCCAGCCAGCCCCAGCCGAACAAGGCGAATAATTATTTATATCTTCCTACACAAAGCTAGAAGATGAACGCAGCACAAGTATATCTTCCTACACTGGTGGTAAGTCATCTCCATGGCCCTGCTCGCTTCGCTGAAAAGTCAGGCTGAAAAGTAGTGTTGGTTGATTTGTTGTGAGAGAAAAACACTGTAGCATGGCCCTGTTCGCTTCGTGCTCATATAGTTGACGTTTCTTGATTTTAATATCTTTTAAATATATTTTTATTAGTTTACATCTGTCAATAACTAATATCAAAGAGCCAAATCATTTTTCCTCTAAATTTCGTTTCTTAGTTCTCCTTATGCGCTAAACCTCTTGATAAGTTTGAAGCTTATACGATTAGTTTGCTAGCTACCATGAGTTTCAAAGTGAATATGGCTTTTTTCTAACTCCAAAATAAATTGGAGTATATTTCATAACTATATATAACATTATATGTCTCCGTTGCAACGCACGGGTATGTTTTCTAGTCATTAACTAATTGGCATATTTTTCAAGCAAAATAAAAAGGAAAAGCGGTGTTTTTGCCCTGCCCGAGAGGTTCAATTGTGATTTTACCCCTATTTTTTCAACTTTGTGATTTTACCCCTGCTATTTTGAAACGAAGGAGCCGTTTGCCCCTGGTTTGGATGTGCGTTATTTAGAGGCTGATTAAACGATTTAAAAAAAATAAAACACATAAAATCAGATGCGAAATGACTGAAATGCCCCTTCCTCTTCGTTCTCTTCATTGCTATCTACTCGCGACTGACACGAAAGCTCTGTGCGGACAGAAGACCGGCGGCCGAGCACCGTCGTGGACGCGCGCCCCTGCGCCCGCCGACCATGGCGCTCCGGCAATCCCGCGCCCGCGCGATGGCGGCCCTCAGCGACCTCGCCCGCTGGTCATGGCGCTCCGGCAACCCCGGATTAGCGCGACGGTGGCCCTCGCGACCTCACCTGCCGGTCATGGAGCTCCGGCAACCCCGCATCGGGGTGACGTGGGCGCGGAGCGGCCCGGGATGCGTGGGCGGGCGTCGCGGCATCAGGGTAGGTGGCGGTGGTGCTTGGCCGCAGCTGCCGGGGCGCCTGGCGACGTGGACGCGGAGCGGGCCGGGGCGCAGTCGTGAGGGCTCGCCCGCACCGTGCGCTCGCCGGAGGCCGCGAGGGCTCGACCGCGCCGTGCGCTCGCCGGCCACCGCCGCGCTCGGCGGCTACCGCGAGGGCTCGCTCACGCCGCGCGATCGCCGGCCGCCACGAGGCTCGTCGTCGCGCCTTGCGCTTCGCCGCTTCGCGCCGCCGCCGCGATACGCCAGACTTCGCCCGATACGCCCAGTTGTTCTACGCGTGCTTTCGCCGGAGACGCCGCCGCTGCGTGTCGCGTGCTTTCCGCTCGGTTGGCTGGTAGCCGCCGCCGCCGCTTCGCTTGCCGGACCTTGATCTTGCGCTCGCCGCCCGACACGCCCAAGCCACGCAGACGACGCGCGATACTGGCCAGTGTATTGCACTTGTTTCGCCAGAGAGCGCTGCTGCTGCTGGCGTGTTTCGCTCTTCTAGCCGCTATTTGGGACTGTGGCTTGTGGCGTGTTTCGCTCATGGCTCGCCGGAGAGAAGTAGAGAACGAGATGAGAGAGGAAGGGATAAGAGTGAGAGAAAAAAAGTAATATTTATTATTACGCGAAGACTATATCACTGTGTGGGTTAATACATTGCATGTCCTGTCTGCGGCTCCCGGCGGGTCTCTTCTCGGCGTAGCTCGGGGCACCCGCCTCTGGTTCTTCTCCCCCACCTCTGGTTCTTCTGGGCACGGGAGTGTACGTCCGCAACGGCACGCAACCGAGCAAAATCACAATTAGGCATAAAAATAAGGAGCAAAATCGTATGGGCATTCATGTCTTTTGTACAAAGTTTAACACCGTTAGGGGTGGATGACGGAGCAGGGGCAAACTGGTGCTTCGTGAATGGGCATGAGGGGTAAATTCACAAAGTCAAAAAAATAGGGGCAAAATCACAATTTCGATACAAAACAAGGGTACAAACGCAAGAGCTCTAAAAAAACTAACGAACTAAGCATACTCTCAAAGTGGGCTGATAGGCCTAACAGGCTAACAGTGCGTCCCCAGGCCTGCATCTTTCTCTTTCGGAACTCCTTCTCTTTGCTTGTCCTCCCCATATATATCTCCCGCACGGCCCACTGGACCAAACCTGAACGCCCATGTACGTGCAAACTCTCCTCTCTTTCAATAAAAACAGAAATGCTATCTACAGGGCGTCATTCCATCCGGATACCCTTTCGTAGGCCTGCATACCAGCCCAATAAATCTCTGCTTTGCGCCCGCTTGTTTTCTATTACGGTATCCACGTTCGTCTCTTCTGTTGGGCCGGTTGGATAAGGAAAGGAGAAGGAGACGAGAGACCTGCCCCGCTCTGCTCCACAGGACGGTGACCCCGCTTGCTCCTGCTCCGTCGACCCCCCCGTTGCTCCTGCTCTGTGGCC